TTTTTAATTCCCAACTCTAAAAAAAAAAAAAAAAAAATAAAGATTTCTCATAATTTTCTATTTGATATAACAAATTACCATTGTATAAGTTAAAAATCCATAACAAGGTTGTTGTAATTGTGAACCCGATATTGATGCAAGTTTTTCAAATTCATCACGAATTGGTGTTTTATTTTTAACCATCTACAAAATAGAAAATAAAAATAATTGAGAATAACTTTGAACTCTACCTGACGAGTAAATTCATCAAGAATAGTATATAATTTAGTTAATAATTTAACTATATTAATAATTGTCATTTTATTTTTTAATCGACATTGTAAAATTTGTCCAAATGTTGTTAATGAATATGATAATTGTGCACAAAAATGTGTTATTTGATCATATGATAATATTTGAGTTTGAATTATCCATTCAAGACTATTTATCATTCGTTCTAAATCAACAATGACAATATTATTTAATATGACCATATGTGTTTTTTCGTTAATTATAGCAAAATATGGTTGATGAACAAATTTAGTCTATGAATAAATAAGAAAAATTTTAGAATTGAATTTGAAAAGTAAAGTTTACATCTTCGGAAACATCTTCACATTGACCATGAATATCCATAGCAATTTTACGAAGAAGTGGTGCATGATTACTGATTTTTGATGAAAGCTTAATAAGAAGACGAACTAATGCTTTACTTAGTTGATGATCCTCTAAAATAAAAATTGATAACATATGTATTAAAATACAGTAGATCAGAAATTTCTGAATTGTATTGTCATACTGTTTCGTTTCTCCGCGAGACCGTGATAAATTTTTTGAGGATAGTGCGCCGTTAGGTTAAGCGATTTTCTCCTTTCTCTTGACTGTATTGTTCTTTTTTTAAAAGAATGCATCTGCATCCATAAAAATGAGTGATTATTATTGTTTTTTTTTATATTTCGAAAGAGTCTATATGTGGTTGATGGATTTTCCTTAATGTGATGAAAATGAAATAGTGATGGTGACATAATAATGTCTAACACAAAGATGACGAAGTCTTTATACACTCATAAATTACCATATTGAGTCTTATATGATAAACAGTTTAACGATTTATACAGATCAGTACTATGATTGTACGTCTCCGTCACCGTCTACGGAGCGATAAGATCATAATAGTCAGTCCCTGTGCAAACTAGGCGACTATTCTTTCTTTACTATTGACTCTTTCTCTTTAATATCTGACTTTTGACATTTTATATCCTTACGCAGATGCTGTAGAATGTTCAATAAAAATCATAAGATTCTAGAAGGTTCTAGAATGTCCTAGAAAATTCTCGAAGCTTCCAGATTTATTTTAAGGATGTTAAGACTTCCTCGGTAATAGACACACAGAAACACATTCAGCACTATCTATACAAATATGGAGAAATGTGAAGTTAAAGTGAGACCGTAAATAACTTTCCTGTACAACGATAATAAATAAGTGGTTTTATTTCTATATATCATTATCCTCCTTTGTATACAACATGAAGGTATACGATCGTTTTGCTGAGGCATGATAAACTCCTTGTTTCTTTATTTAATGAATCGATAGGGGACAGAATAAACCAATGGCTAGATGATTTTCAAGTTCTTTATGGATTTTTGCGATAGATCCCAGAAGTATCATAATACATCGTATGTTTTATTATTCAGTATCTAAAAAAATGCTTTAGTTTGGATTTTTTATTCTGTTCAATGCATTATATGAATATTTCAATAAATATGTTGCAAAAATCAACTTTCAATGCAGCAAATATGACTTATCCTATTGATAAAATGTGCACAATTGAGCAAACATTTCATTAGAAGAACCAAATAGTTCAAGAAAGTAAAACTCAAATCGGCTATTTTCCAAAAATTTACTATTATTTTAACCTTTGATTGTAGACAATTTAATCTTTCAGAATAAAAATATTCAGAAAATTCTCCATCATCTCACACAATAAATACCGATCGTTTCAATTGGTAAGCAATAGATATATAAAATGAGTTTATAAAAATGTTTGCTCATCATACCGTATTTTCCTTGCATACAAGTTGAACTAGCCCATTCAGCAAATGATTGATATTCATTTCGATCAATATGTTCTCCATCTTTTAATGCTAATTCAAGAATATCAGCAACATAAATTAATGCTTTTAAACAACCCAATGCTTTTGCTGTTGATCCATCAACACCAGCTGTTTCTATTAAACGATTATATTCACTTTCAATTCTTTTGTAAATTGCCTAATTTTATTAAAAAAAGAATAAAACAAAAACAAAATAGTTTTCTTTCAGATTATAAAAACTTTTTATCATTACTTTAAAACTTTCAGCAAAACGAGCTGTTTGAGGATCAGTTTGACTATAACTTATATTTGAATCAATTGCATCAGAATCACCAGATAATGCTTTCATTGCACTATCAATCATTAAAGCTGCTGCACCACGAAAATTATTTACAATAATTTTCCATATTTCTACAATTAATTGTAAAATTTGTTCTGTTAATATAATATTAATATCTTTTGTTACAGCTTGATATAAAATTCTATTAAATTTAATAATTAAAATTAAAATTTATCTTGCATTTTATGTAACTTACGTATGAAGATCAATTAACATCATTTGTAATTTTTCTTGTCGCATATTTTCAGCATCAAAATAATATTTAATACCATTTGATGTAATAGCACGTAATTTTGATAAACAACATCGCATAACATATGTACGATAATTAATATCATCAATAAGTAAATCGATATCAATATTATGATTTGATGTATCTAAATCAGCATTAAAGATTTTCGTCCATAAAATTGAATGTAAAAATCTTTTTAAACATGTAAATGATATAAGTTTTCCTGTTGTTGGCAAACGTAATTTGGCTTTAGACATTTTATCATGAAGACGAGATTCTTGATCAATAGATTTTAAAATACTTGCAGTTGATTCTCTATACAAGAAAAAATAAGCTTTTATAATAAAAAAAAACTTATTAATTTAACTTACAAATATTTCATTCGCATAAATTTATATTCAATAAGAACATTGCATATATCAATACAAAGTGTATACATTTGTGGACTAGTTTTATCATCAGATAAACCTTTAACCTAAAATTGATTTTTCAAAATAAATTAAAAACATAAATTATACTTGAAACCAGACTGGCTGGTTTTTTATAGATTTTAAGAACACAAAAGCTGATATATTTTGTTCGTTTTTAACTATTTCCATGATTTTAATCATCAAGAGATATTAGCCTGGAAGTCTTTAACAAATAAATTTCTGGTCGTCGTTGTCAAAATCGAAGATCCAAAGTTAGCCAGGTTAACCGATTCTCATAAATTCCCAACAGCTAGTAGTTCTTACTTGAGACTTTAATTACAAAATATTAGAAAAGAATCCGTTCTATTGTCAAGATCTTGCTAATTCCTAGCATCATGCAACTATGTAAATATTTAGATACTAAGAAAACTTAAAATAGAACGTCTAATATAAAACCGTTTATTTTAGTTTACTTTATCTTTCTGTCGATAATAGTATTCTCTTACGAATTGAAATGTCTTTGAGTTGTGTTATATAATTATTTCCAATAAGAATAGATCAAACTTATTAATTGTAAAGAAATCATATCGTTATTGAAAAACTCAGTCAAAGCATAGTTTACATGTTGTTCAATATTAGCTATTGTGAGTTACTAAATGAAACATGATATATTAAAATAGGAATTTTTACTATTAGAAACTCTAAGAGTCATATGAGGATTAAGTCAAGAATTTCTCTCGATTGACCGAAAAAAATCTGACCAGTTCCAAGTATGACAGAGATTGGTTTTTAAACTTACGCCAACTGAATCAGTAAATTCGTCATCGTCAAATAAAATAATTAGTCGTTTAAATATGTCGGTTGCTTTTTTCAAATAGACTGACACATCAGAATCTTCATCAAATATTTTCGAATTTGCTTTTAATAAACAATCAGCACGATGTAAACAAAGACATAAACAATGAAGTAAATGTGCCTAAAGAAAATCAATATAAAATAGTTTTATCAGAACCAAACAAAAAAAAACAAAGATCTTTTTCTTACAAATGGTTCAACAGCTTGCATTTTATCATCACGTTCAATTAAACAAGAAGATAAATTTAATGTACATTTATCGCCAATTGGCTCGTAGTATAAAGCAATCTGTATTCAATAATAAAACTTTTTAGTTTAGTCTTTGTCATAAAATTAATATTTATTTACTATTGATGATATCGAATAAGTAAACAGAGATGATCAAAATACTCGAAATAGTCGTACTCAATGATTATATACTTATATGATTCAATGGAAAGTATTCTATATCTATATGATGTTAGGCGTATAGTTATTTCTGTTATTGTTCACACTGAGATTGAATCTAATAATGTATCGAAGAGTAAATTTATGTCAATACTCGAATTAGTGTATGTACATCGATATCAGATTTGAATTTCTATTGATGGATTGAGAGTGAGCAGTGACATTTCAATTAGTGCAATTATCAATGGCGAATTAAATAAATAGGTTGTGGCTATGTGGGGTTGCCCCCGACTGGGACCGTATTCGTCCCTACTGAATTCGTCCCATACTAATTGATTCCGAATTCGTCCCGTGAAGAAAAAAATCAAAAATTTCGATTCCGAATTCGTCCCACGAAGAAAAAAAATTAATATTTCGATTCCGAATTCGTCCCGTTAAGAAAAAAATGAAAAGTTCGATTCCGAATTCGTCCCCACTGTCGTCCCTAACTAAGGGTGTTACCATTGAAGGATTTGCAATACGAGTTCGAACTAGTTCTTCTGTATAAATTTTTGGAATTGTTGTTGTTTCTTCTCTTGCACGTTTTTTCATCCGTTCTACAGCTTCATCAATAACTTGTTTACTACTATGTACACCTTTACATGAATGAGCTGAAGGTGCACGAAAAACAACTTCATTATCGGATGTCAATGACAAAGTACTTGAACATTTTCTTTGGCGGCACCTCCATTCATTTGTTGTAGCAGCTTTTCTTTTAAGTGTATATTGATAACCATTGTAATTCAATACCGGTTTGTTGCGTTCTGATGAAGTGAACTGTAGCATGTTGCACAGAGAATACGTATACCAAATAATAATTAAAAATGATAAATAGTATCGATTTAATCGATCCAATTTATTCGTTTTGATTGAATAAAATACGGACGCTCTTATACTTTAAACACATTCAAGAGATGGCGCAAGCGTGCCTACTATAAACTGACCGAGCAATAAAGTAGATCATTGAATATTAACTACTATTAATTAAAGACAATGTAATAGGGACGAATGTGAAGGGACGAATTCGGAATCGAACTTTTCATTTTTTTCTTAACGGGACGAATTCGGAATCGAAATATTAATTTTTTTTCTTCGTGGGACGAATTCGGAATCGAAATTTTTGATTTTTTTCTTCACGGGACGAATTCGGAATCAATTAGTATGGGACGAATTCAGTAGGGACGAATACGGTCCCAGTCGGGGCGCTCCCGCTATGTGTGTATGACATCGTTTATTTCATCAATAACCACGCTCTGTATTGTGTTTGAATAAACATACAGTATCAGCTTCTTTTTAATTACAATGTGTTTAGGTTTTTAACTGAGTATATAAATTTTATTGGTAGTGCAATTTTACTATAGTGTCATTTTTTCAAACTGACAAATTCTCGCAAAGGATGCTTTCTAGAAATCTAGTTCTGAGAGTTATTTCAAAAAGACAATTTGTTATGCTCTATCCGGCGGTTAAATCGAAATTTTGAAAGAACGTTCACAAAGAATAAAACAGATAGGTTTCGGAAACAATTTTTGATAAAATCAATTGTTGAGCCCGCTATACTGCAGTTAGTGCATGAGCCGAATGAAAACTAAAAATGAATATCTACACATTTTGATGAGGGCTATAATACTGGCATACTTACATCTTGCCAGAAAAAGGATAATGTAAATCTGGAAACGATTGTGTGGAAGCATCCACGTCCTGATCGAAGTATAGAACATGTCTTCACTTTAACGGTGAGACAGATATTCGTTTCCCAACGATAGATAGGTTATCTTGAAAATATGACAGAATACACTATTTTTGTAATTGAAGACAGCAAGCGAGCCTAGAGATAATTGTCCTTATATTGCTGGATATTGCCAAACGACAACTTCTATTTTTTATTACCGACGTGTACTGAATAATTCTTGATGGAAAACATATTCTCACAGTTCGAATGGATCTTTAGGACAATCCGAGTGGATTCAGCCATCTTATCACTGAAACTTTTACTCACTAAAAGCTAATCCTTCATGAAATTTTGACTCAATATTGCCAAATGGCAACATTCGATCGACAAGGGTTAAAGCACAAAAAAATTCAACTATTTAACATTTGCTTCTTTACCTGAGAAATAAGCATATCAAGAATAGGTGCCATTAGAATTGGACTTTTACGAAGAACAGGTAATAAACCCTATGCAATAAAATTAATTCAAATAAAAAATTCTATAATTTGATCGCATACTTCATAAACAGTTAATCGAACATCATATTGTTGAGTAAGACTTCGTCTTAATTGCATTAATAATTCAATACATTGTCCTTCAGTTGAACGTTGTGTTGAATTAATTGTATTCATTTGTGTTGCACCACGCTTCAAAATAAGAAAAGATAAAAAAAATATCTCGTTTTTATTTTCTTTAAAAACTAAATCTAATAAATTTACTTCTACTAAAGAAAATATTGTCATTTGACTAGCTTGAGTAGCTGGTGGTCTTATTAACCATTTTGCATGTTTTAATAAAATTAAATATCCATCAACAGCCATTCGACGACAATCAAGACGACTAGAACATTAAATTTAAAATTATAATTCATTTCATTTAATTACTTACGGACGATACATAGCTTTACGAAGTAATTGAAAATATGTTTCACGAAATGGTGTATTGCCACTCAATTTAATAATTGGTTTAAATGCATCAATAACATCATGTGCTAAATCATAACGCATTAATAAAATTTGATCAAGTCGATCTTTTAATTGTTCGGGCCATTTTACAAATCGATGACTATTCGTTTTCATTACATCATATAATTGTTCTAAAAGCATATTTATATATAAAATTATTATAAAAAAAAAAAAACAAATATTTTCTTTTCTTTTTGAAAATATACCAACAAAATGTTTAACAGTACGATCATTTGTTTTAGCTTCAAGAATTCGATCAAATAAACGATGTATAATATCTTCTTGAATAGATTTATGTAACTAAACATTATTATTATATTTTTCAATTATAAATTAAAAATATAGAAATTATACTCGAACAATATCTGAAAGCCATTTCGAAGCTAAAGTTTTCAATAATTCAATAACTGAAAATGATGATTCATTAGTTAACATTGACGATTGACTATATTCATCAAGTAATTGAAAACAAAAATCAATTAAACCCGAAAGAATTAAATCACCACCAAATAAACTTAAACAAGAAAAATTAAACTAAAAAAAAACAAGTATTTCAGTTTGCATTTTACTCTTTTTTTGCAAGTTGTAATAAATAATCTCGATAAAAATCATTATAATTTATTTTTGTAAATAGTATAAGCCAAAAAGCTTCATTATTTTTTTCAAATGTTTGACAAACAAGATCAAATGATGTTTTTAGTTGTTTTATAAACTAAATAATAAAACAAAATTATTATTACAATATTTTTTTTTCTTCGTGAAAGTAATCGTTGATCAAATGATTATTTATCGAAAATTACTAAAATAGTAACATTTACTATTTATTCTTTTACAGTCCGTATACGCACTTTAAAATAATAAATAGTAAATGCTGTTATTCTAGTAGTCTTCGACAAAACATTTTTCGATAAATAATCATTCAACTAACGGCTTTCTACTGTTTTCTTTGATTACTTTTCCTTTTATTGTTCGATCTTTTGGTAAAGCAAATATGAATGCAAGACAAAATGGAGAAAATATTTTTGATACATCACTACTTTGAATTTTCTATATAAAAACAGTAAAAAAGAATTCAAAAAATGAAAGAAAAAAAAATAAACATGAATAATTCTACTTTAAACGTTCGTAATAATGTCATACCAAGATCAGGTGATAATTCAATAGCATTTAGAATATGAACAATACAAAGACGAATATTTGATGTATATTGTTTATTACTAGAATTAATCAAATAAACAAAATGTAATGAAATATTACCAACTATTAATTTACTCATTTGATTTTGAATCAAGATTAATAAAATATTGTATTAAACGATCGAAAATATATCCACTACAACTTGTTATTTCATTTTCTAAACGATTATCAATACATAACTGAAGAATATTTAAAACAAATATTGGTAGTTGATCAATGGATGATTCAAAATCAATTGCAAACATTATATCAATAAATGTACGTTTTTCATTATCAGCAAATGGAAGTGTTCTAAAGTAAACATAAAAAAAAATTCCTCATTTTGATCGATACATTTTTCGATAAATTTATTTACTTTATCACAGCTATAAGACTAGCATAATTGTCTTCTGTCCATCTAAATATCAAATATAAATTTAAAGAAATTTTAGATTCTTTTGCTTTTACGTTGTATTTCCTAATTGTTGAACAATAGTTTGACACATTGATTCTGCTAACGATGAACCTGATCTTGGTATTACATTATTATGAATGTTTAAAGTAGAATTAGTAATGTTTATTTTTTTTTCTTTCTTTATTTGAATTTTTATTTTCTT